AAGAAGGATAGATGAGGTGCTGAGGGACAGGGTTTAGTGGTGGGATGGCAGGGTTAGGTTAAAGGTTGGACTCGATGATCTTAAAGGTCTTTTCCAACCAAAGCGATTCTATGATTCTATGATTCTAATTACCTGAAATCACTTCTGACAGACACACACCCCCCCGCTCCAGAAGCCAAATGCCAAAGGCACACAGGCAATACTGGAAAGCAGCAGGCTGTGACATGCTATGAACATGAAGTTCTAGCCTTACCTTGTATCCGTTGTCCTCCTTCCGGTTGTGGGATGCTGTGATCATCACACCAGCCACAGCTTTGAGCTGCTGCACAGCATAGGGCTACAAAGGAAACCCAGAAATGTCGATTTACCCAAGAGTTCTGCAGCTGGCACAAACAACATTGCATTATTAGGACACAGGAGAAGGGGCTCTTAAACGTTTCACCGGTTTACTTGAAAATTGTGTCTATGAATGCTCATCTTCTGTTTCCTGTAGCTCGTAATAGAGAGAAAGCTTGTTCTATTCTGCTGCATAGGAACATTATTCTATTTACCAATTACACAAACACAATCGTTAACAGGCCAAGTAAAGAATGTCTACGCTCAGATTACTCTAGGATTTTAGAAAGAAAATGGGTTGAAACAGAATGGAGGAATTCACCAAAAGGCTTGTTGAAACACAAGTTAAAGGCATTTCCAGCTAAAGCATCCAGTCCTTTCAGTCCTCCCCTCAAAACAAGATCCACAGCACAGGTAGCACACTAGAAAAGCTTGCAGAATAGAAAACAAGGATTTAAGACCCTGCAGGAAAAAGCTTCTGTGACTAGAACAGAAAGCTCTACTTCTTGAGATATTAGAAGTAGAGGCAATCCTTCATTTCTTCCACTCTAAGCAGTGCAAGTCTTGCGTCCAAAAACACATAGTCCCTGTATACGTGTATATATTCACACAAACATAAATATCATCTTTGACCCTTACAGTACCCAGGCGTTTAAGCACAGAATAAAAGAACAGCCAAATGCTTCACCTGTAACAAACAGAGCAAAGCCTGGACTGCAGTAACTATTGCCCTCACGTAGCAGCTTAGGGTGAAATGTGGTTCTGTTGACTAGCTGCACACAGAAGAATTCAGCAACATTCTTGTTGAAGCCTCCTTGGAGAGCCAAGTGTACCAAGCAGCCTCTATTTTTGTTTAAATAATGGGATTTGAAAAGAAAATTGCTAGTTCACGTTTTTAGTAAACTTTCAAATACTCCCTTAACTGCACGGTTCAACAACCTAAAAGGGAAGATGACTCACCACAAATGGCGTAGGGACATACGTGGAAAAGAAGTACACAGGTACATCTTTAGCCAGGAGGACTGCTGCAGTGAGCTTTGCAAGCCTGCCAACGTGAAAAAGAAAATGTTTGGTCAACCCAACTCCCCAAGACAATATGGCATTGCTGTAGCCTTCATTTCACTTGTTTCTTAAATCCCTCTATTTGTTTTTTGGCTTGCACGAAGAGTAGTATCCTACAGTTTGTACAGTCAATGTAACAATTTTCAGGCGGTAGAATGAGAGACAGCACTTTTATGCGTTGTTTGAAGAGCGCAAGGCACTTCAACCACCTAAATAAACGAGTGATATCAAAAACAAAGGTACAGAACCTACTGGTGTGACACTTGTCCTTCACTCAAGGACAGAACCAATCTCCCAGAAAGTTTAAAATGCCAGATGTCTGCAACAGCAGGTTTGGAAAAGGGTTCAGTATCCCACACAGCAAAGCTTGTTTGCCAGCCTTGTTCAGCAGCTTCAGACAACATCCATGAAGCAGATCTATTCCTAAAATACACTCCTGCAAGACAGCACGCTCTTATTCCAGAAAGTTTAGAAACAGTAACAGCAACCATGTTTTTAAACCTTGCCTTTATTATAAATTTTTGAGCAGCAGGGAAACTCACTCACTTTCAGATAACTTGATACAAAACTGTTCTTTTCAAGTCAGGTACACACAGCTCAGCAGTTAATGGGAATCTCAGAGTCAAAACAGATAAGGATTAAATAGTGTAAGTTTGCTTTGCTCACTCATTTTTACAGACAAGCATTAATACCTGCTTCCTTATCTCCCATGATGAGTACACTGTGGTCTAAGTTTCAGTTACTCAGAATTTCACTATAGCACCTACCAAATGTAACCTGAAATCACTTAAAAGAGTTTGAGAGCTCAGCTTGCAGTCAAAGCTACTGAAACTTTGCTTGTGTATCACAACGGTTTACATCAACTTACTTACAGGATACAGCCGGAGGGGAGTGCCACCCCCCTCGGCACTGGAACCGATGCAAAGAAAGGGGGGGCTCCTGCTCACATAGTGCTGGATAAGCACGCTGATCCAACTGAAAACACTCTTTTGGGGAGGTTCAATTTGATTTTAGTACTACTGTAGCTGGGTGTCATCCCAAGGGGACAAAAGAAACATGTAGCTGAGAACTGATTTGCTCCTTTGACATGTGAAACGCAACGAGTGCGCTGCCATCAAGTCTGAATTCCAAGCTTTGTGTGGCTGAAAAGGAATGTTTTTCTTACACTTCCACATTTTTAAGCTGTGCATAACCCAGATGATTGGGTAACAGCCTTGCAAACACGGCGTAACAGATGAGGTTAAAACCCTTCTGCCAAAGCCTGGTGCCACACATCTGAAGATCAGACAGGAAGGCGTGGAGAGGCAGACTTCAGGGGAATGGAGAAATTCTGACAAGACAGTCACTAGATTCTGTGTTCTATTGTGCCAAGAACTTTTACATCCCTGGAATATTAAATGTTGACAAAAATAAAAAAAAAAACCCTACATTAGTTACAACAATTAACTACAATAACTACATTAACTACAATAATTAACTATTCACTAACTAAATAATAACGAGCTACTGGGTTGGCTTTTTTGTAAAGCGTGCCATTACAACATGTGTTCTGCTCCCTGAACGACAAGGGATGAGGATTCCTTACAGAATTCAGAAAGCAGTTCTTTTACAGATCCTCTCTTCCCCTTCCTTGCAGAGGGCACAATTCGGCATCAGTGGAAGTTGACATTTTAAGCATTACAGGTAAAATATTCCCAATGTGGAAATACACTGCGATCTCAGACTAGCATAAGGGTACCAATGCACTGGGTTACAGTAAAAAGTAGAATTCTTCTCCCCCAAGCAAGCTTAAATCAGATGCGTAACACAAAAGAACAGCAGCGTTAACATTGTGCATTAACATTTAGTGATTTCAAGCTCCATGTTAGTATTCTGAATTTACCTTCACATTCAAATTTCTCTCCAGGCATATCAACTTCTTAATGTCTGCCTAATGTTCCTGTGCATTTAGACTGTAAATTCTTTGGTGAAGTGACTAGCCTCACATTCCATATTTGCTGGCAACTGGTACTACAAAGGCTTTAGTCCATGCCTCTCTCCATTACTATTTAAATGGACTAAGGGAGGGGAAAGTGTGCGCAGTTCATGACAAAAATATTCTGATAGAACGGAATGCATTTAAAGCCACAATTTAATTTCTAGTCTTGCAAATGTAATCAATACTCATACTTCTTACTGCTGCAGTTGCTGGTCACCTGACCTCGTGTGTCATATCCAACAACAAAGCCTCTCTGCTTAAAGTCTGAAAAACACCTCTCAAGATACTTGTAGATGCCCTGGAAAGGAAAAAAAAAAGAAAAAGGAGGGAAGAATTAGCTCTATAGTGCAGCACACACAAAACATTAAAAATTCTTTTCCACAAATGTAAAATGTCAGTAGGCAAAATACAGTTCAGCAAAAACATCAATAATGATATTCACAAAAGCAGCATATTTATTTTCCCTAAAGTGTTCACAGAAAGAAAGCAAACAGAGAAACAATTGTGGGAAATAAAAGCTGTACAACAATAAGTGACCAAACAGCATAAAGAGAAAGTTTGAGCCCGCAAAATCCTCAGGCAGCAAACACTTCTTTTCAATCTGTACTGTGCTTTTATGTATTCAAACCATCTTCTTAAAGACTCAGTTGAGAAAAATGCATTTTTTTGAAAGTCCACACACTCAGGCAACGTAAGGCTGGTGCTAGTTAGTGCTAGTCTTTACCCTTGCATTCACAGCACAAGACAGACACCTTTTCAGCACTCCTTCCAGAGCGTTAGTTCTAAATTTGCATTGCATTAAAAGGATGCTTCACCCTTACCCACTTTTTCAAATGAAAGTTAATTACTGGTGACCTGCTCCAGGTGGACAGATTGAAGTCCTTGATTTATATACTATGCAGATACAGTGGCACAAATACAAGGTGTCTTCCATACATCAAGGCAGTGGCAAGGTATCAGAGAATACGCCCATGCAGGGAGGAGAAAGGGGAGCAGATGAAGGGAGTAAATTTTTAAAAAACATTGGGAGAAAAACAAACAGGAGAAAAACAAAGAGCCTCTCAGTCAGCCACCCCTTCCTTTCAAAACAGGAGGAGATAGGTTCTCCTTGAAATAGTGCATTACATGGTGTTCCAGCTTCACCTTCCCTGTGGCCTTCACATCCATTCATTTTCCAGTTCGAATCTCTCTGGAGATCCATCACAGAAACAACCCAGGATGGAGCAGCAGTTTTAGACAAAAACATGGAAGCACTATTGTTAACGGAAGTTTCCAGAGAACTGTCAGAAAGCAGCCTTCCCTAACGCAAACGCGGCACTGTGAACTTGCCATAGCCAAGCTTATCCTAAAAACGCTACCTCTTACACGGGTACAAGTTTCCTCTTGACACAAGGAGCAGGAGTGTTTTGTGCCAGAATCAAACAGGTTTTTCCCCCAGTATTAAGTGCAATTCTTTGCAATGTTCTTACCTGGATCTGACTCGGTATCACCAATAAGCAATCTCTCAACTGCAAAGCTAGCCTGACTCCTACCCATGAAATTCAGTTGATCTCAATTTTTTTTTTTAATGGTTCTTGCCCTTTCCACCAAAGGATGTGCTTCAAAGCTGAACAAGTGGATACAGGCATCTCTTTGGAGAACTATTTCAGCTGCAGATGTAGTGTGCCCTATAGAGGGATTCACAGAGAGAGAAAAACTTTAAAATCAATAAAAATCTTTGAATACCGACAGCACTGGAAGCTGTGCCGTGGCATGATCGCCAGATGAAGTCACCTTTACGCTGCACTGAAATGCGTGGATACACAAACATGTTCACACCACCCTAACAACTTATCAAGAACTTCCATTCACGGTTGTGAGGAGGTAAGAGAGAGGAACGGGGAAAACTTGTTCAAGTTTGACTAGAACAGATTGAATAGCATTTAAAGAGAGGAACAGATTTCTTATCAACAGATCCCTTCTTTAGGCTAGTTCCTCAAACACCAAGGAACTGCACAAAAGATTAAATTCATGGAAGCAGCAGGACAGTATTAGGCAAAGTGGTACTAGTTAGAAGCAGAAAACAAACGGGGTCATATAAACTTTTTTCAGAAGCAGCATGAGTCAAGGTAAGTTCAGACAGAACAGCCAATACTGCTGTCCACATAAGAACATCAATACCTTACAAACCACCCTTTGCAGATGTATAACTGGTACTTACACATGATTCTCATCTTACACCGACCCCCAGGAGCTCTCCCTCGACAGCGGAGGCAGCTCTGGAACTTTCTAGCAACCCTGGCACCTCTACGATTCTGCACATCAAGTTTCTTCCTCAGCCCTTACTTCCCAGTGACAACCATCATAGCTGCTTTGATTTATTTTTGTTGCAAAGGGCCTACACTGATCTTTTTAGTAGCCTGGATCTTCTGTACTTTCTCCCCTACACCTCATCCCAGCTATTTCTGCCTGAGCATTTTTGGCAGCTATGGGGTGCCACTACAACCTCAGTAACACTCTCCTCAAAGGCGAGGTGAGATTTTTCCTAGGACACACATTCTTAAACCAGCTTCACTGTTTGACCGGGACCAAGGATTTTGTATGAATAAAAATAGCAGTGTCTTTACTCTCTGCCATGGAGAAGTTTTGCTTAAAATTAAGACACAATACAATATGCTATATAAGAACAATTTACTTTAACCTTCGCCAAATATCCAACAGCTGAATCAGTCCAGCCCTACCGGTCTTGTTTACTATGCAAACACCTTGATTGAAGCCGGAGGAAATAAGAGTAAATAAATAACGACAGTGAGAGGAAGTGAATGCAGAGCCTCCCCACTATCTGAACCCTCTACTCAAGTTCACCCCTGTTTTCTTCCAGGTGCCACTCTCCCTTTCTCGGAGGGCAGTCACTAACTCCAGCACCTCTTGGGAGAAGTCCTTTCTTTAATAAGCCTCTCCATTTAAAGAATTCCTATTTCCTTTTTACAAGACTCAGGTTCTGATGGTGTCCTTATCTAATTTCTACTGCTTCTAAATTGAAGATATCCAAGTCAACACCTTGCCATTACATACGTGGTGATAATAACTTATTAGCAAGTGTCAGCGTGCAAATGTGTAACTGCCTCAGTGGATCTAAACCAAAATTCTCTTTAGCTACACTGAAGTATTACAAATATTTATACCACCGCACAGTTCAAGTGATTTCCCTATATAAAATTCTCGGACAGATCTAGTCTGCCGTGTTTTAAATAATCCTCTTGCCTGTCCAGTCCCTCATGATCAATTTAAAAAGAGAAGTGAGGGGAAAGTGACGGTATCAAGAATGGGATGGAAAGATTTCTGGTTGATGAAACCAAGAGAGGTAGTAACAGCTTTATGAAGTCCAGTATTTAAATCTTTCAACTACTATCTTTCGCTTTGCTTATACAGCAATGGGAAACTCACAGCAATGGCACAAAGATGACTGGTTTTGTCATTGTGGAGGTCAGCGACGGGTTACTTACCCGTTAAT